CTCCTATATTTTTTCTCCTGTAGATATTTGCCGTTTTTGTCTTCCATTGTGCCATTTTTTCATTTGTTTACTTTGATTCCTAAAATAAATATTTGCCTTTCACAATTATCTTCAATTTGTTTTCTTAATTATGAAATTATTTCTTATTGTTCATTTGTGGAAATCTGTACTTACATACACTGCTCAAAAAACTAAAGGGAACACTTAAACAACACAATGTAACTCCAAGTCAACCACACTTCTGTGAAATCAAACTGTCCACTTAGGTAGCAACACTGATTGACAATCAATTTCACATGCTGTTGTGCAAATGGAATAGACAACAGGTGGAAAGCAGAGGCAGTTAGCAAGACATCCCCAATAAAGGAGTAGTTCTGCAGGTGGTGACCACAGACCACTTCTCAGTTCCTATGCTTTCTGGCTGATGATTTGGTCACTTTTGAATGCTGGCATTGCTTTCACTGTAGTGGTAGCATGAGACAGAGTCTACAACACACACAAGTGGCTCAGGTAGTGCAGCTCATCCAGGATGGCACATCAATGTGAGCTGTGGCAAGAAGGTTTGCTGTGTCTTTCAGCGTAGTGTCCAGAGCATGGAGGTGCTCCAGGAGACAGGCCAGTACATCAGGAGACATGGAGGAGGCCGTAGAAGGGCAACAACCCAGTATCAGAATCGCTACCTCCACCTTTGTGCAAGGAGGGACAGGAGGAGCACTGCCAGAGCCCTGCAAAATGACCTCCAGCGGGCCACAAATGTGCATGTGGCTGCTCAAACGGTCAGAAACAGACTCCATGAGGGTGGTATAAGGGCCCAACGTCCACAGGTGGGGGTTGTGCTTACAGCCCAAAACCGTGTAGGACATTTGGCATTTGCCAGAGAACACCAAGATTGGCAAATTCACCACTGGCACCCTGTGCTCTTCACAGATGAAAGCAGGTTCACACTGAGCACATGTGACAGATGTGACAGGGTCTGGAGATGCCATGGAGAACGTTCTGCTGCCTGCAACATCCTCCAGCATGACCGGTTTGGCAGTGGGTCAGTAATGGTGTGGGGTGGCATTACTTTAGGGGGCCGCACAGTCCTCCATGTGCTCGCCAGAGGTAGCCTGACTGCCATTAGGTACTGAGATGAGATCCTCAGACCCCTTGTGAGACCATATGCTGGTGCGGTTGGCCCGGGGTTCCTCCTAATACAAGACAATGCTAGACCTCATGTGGCTGGAGTGTGTCAGCAGTTCCTGCAAGATGAAGGCATTGATGCTATGGACTGGCCCGCCCATTTCCCAGACCTGAATCCAATTGAGCACATCTGGGACATCATGTCTCGCTCCATCCACAAACGCCACATTGCACCACAGACTGTCCAGGAATTGGGGGATGCTTTAGTTCAGGTGTGGGAGGGTCTGGAGATGCCATGGAGAACGTTCTGCTGCCTGGGAGGAGATCCCTCAGGAGACCATCCGCCACCTCATCAGGAGCATGCCCAGGCATTGTAGGGAGGTCATACAGGCACGTGGAGGCCACACACACTACTAAGCCTCATTTTTACTTGTTTTAAGGACATAACATCAAAGTTGGATCAGCCTGTCGTGTTTTTTTCCACTTTAATTTTGAATGTAACTCCAAATCCAGACCTCCATGGGTTGCTAAATTTGATTTCCATTGATAATTTTTGTGCAATTTTGTTGTCAGCACATTCAACTATGTAATGAACAAAGTATTTAATAAGAATATTTCATTCATTCAAATCTAGGATGTCTTATTTTTGTGTTCCCTTTATTTTTTTGAGCAGTGTATTTTCTTCTCTATCTGTTGGCTTTTCCTCTTCCTTTCTGCTTCTGTTAAGCCATTTTACTTTCTTTTCTTTACATTTTTTTTTACATTTCAGAATAATTTTGTTTTCCTCCATCTTTAAATATGTCATGTATTTCATTTTCTGAACCTCTTCAGAAAATTTTGTTCAGCAGGTCTAATCCATTAGATATATTCTTCATTTTCACCATATAATCATATGAAAAATTGCAGAGGTTGTGCCTTCTTGATTTGATGATATTATGTTTTATTTAGCTTAAGTCATAATTTTTATGGAGTTTATTATCTGAGCTACAGTCAGCACAAGCACTTGTTTTTGCTTACTCAATACAGCTTCTCTATTGTTGCTTAGAAAACAGATACTCAGTTTGATTTTGGTTATCCATCAAGTGATAAAAATATTTGCTATAAACATTTAATTTTCCCAGTATCCTCTTTCCCACATACAGTTTTTGTAATTGAAAAACCGAGAATATTTTTCCAAGCCAAATCAGGAGAGTTCTTGTTAGGAGAAATAATGTGTATGGGAATCTATACACAGAAGTCTGGAGGGCGAGGGTTACTTGTCACTAAGTATTTTTCAAGCTTTTGTCAGGCTTCCTATGGAATTATTTCCTTTGGATTGCTTTTGGGACTTAGAATGTATTCTCTGCCAGAATCCGATTCCAGTTCCCATGTCTAGAAAACAAGGTTGCCAAGATATTTGTTAAGTCATTGGAACCTAACTATGAAGTCAGTATGAGAAAATTTGCTTCTAAAGTAATAACGAGGAAAGCAGATTTTGTACTTAACAGTATTTCATTAGCAAAGTTTTTCGAGATCTAATCATCCAAGAAATACAGAAGAATATTTTAAAGTAACCATTGTTCTCTATTTCACACTTTGCATGAATTTTTATTCTGGTGTACACTCCGTACACTAATATGGAATGTTAGCAGTCATTCACACTGGAAACATCATTATTAACATCCAGTAATATAAATCCCTACAGGTGCTTTCCTCTGACAAAAAAAAAAAGAGTTTGGTATTCAGCACCATTCAGATGGCATTCCATGGAGAGCTTCAATTATCTTAGATTGGAGAGGAATGTGCATGTTAATCTTTTACTTTGGTGGATTTCTTTGTAAGTTCTTGCCTCATGTCTCCTGTTTTTGGAAGTGGGGAATTTCACACATCCACTATCCTCAATGGAATGCAATCCAGCTGTGAGTGCTGAGATTTGACTATGATTAATATGTCAGCCTAGTTTTATCTTTGAAACTAATTAGTGTAGAACATATGCTAATAAATGCAGGTGCAGCCATCCAGTATAGGTGCTTAGTTGCGCACATTTGGGAACTCAATTCATTTTCTGGAAGAAAATAGTAAATTAGAGATTCACATTTTCTGTTGAAATAAATAAAGATGTTGCAGTGGTAAAACCCAGAGAATGCATCTGAGCTTGTTATGTCCATTCAGAGTTACCCTTGGAAACAAAGTTTTCCAGGTAACACAGTTAGAGAAACACATCTCAGATCATAATTCTTCCAACAGCATTTTGCTAAATAGTTCAATTAGCAATTGCTAACATGCAAATGCTTGCTCTGAAATTAGAATAATTGATCTTGTTCCATCTTAAGGATTGATTTATATATGGTATGTGTCCTATTCTCCCCACCCACCCTGCCCTCATATCTGTACCTGAAATTGCATTTCTTATTGGTCAGCTCAGGAAGGGAAAGGCCCCCAGAGCTGACCTTATTCCCCCAAAACTAATGAAGAATAACATTGAAGGCTGGACTCCATCATCCTTTAACAATATTTTGCATCACTGAATGTATCCGTGAAGATTGGGGCCCGGCAATGATAGCTCAAATCTTCAAGAAGGAAAAGAGAGCAGCAGGCCAATTAGCTGCTCAAGCATAATCATGCTATGCACCCCATTTCCTGGCTGAACCAGGAAAATCTAATAGACGAGCAGGCTAGTTTCAGAGAAGGCAGAGGCATCATTGACTAACGCTTGATCCTATAGAACTGGGCTGAAAAATATTCAACCAACAATGTGGCATTACTTTACGTTGCTGGCAACATTTGATTCTGTATCCAGGATCAAACTATGGGAGAAGCTGGAATCCTCATCAATTGATTGTGGACTTTTCTACTTAATCTGAGTTCTGTGCACTAAAATAACTCGTAAGGTCAGATGCAATATGCAAAAGGAGATCAAACAGGGATGCATTCCTCCCTCTCCCCACCCCACCCCTTTTAAACTTTTATACCAATAGTACTGTGAGATGCCTGAACATTTCAAATGTTCATCCCCCCCCCCCACCCACCCACGCTATGGGATCACAGCATAGCTCTGCTGCTTTATGCAGACAATGCTGTAGTTATTTCCAGAACACCTATAAATTTTAAAAGAGCTCTAGAGCACTGACCCGATACTGCAAAAATGATCGTCTGGAAATAAAGTATCAGAAAAACAAGATTAGGCCTCTGCCAAAAGGCCAACACTCCCATCATGGAGCATTAATGGTGACAGGATAGAGCAAGTAAACTGCTTCAAGTGCTTAGGAATACAATGGTGAATATGTCCTTGGACAAAGATCTGTCAATATAAATTTTACCACTCCAGGCTTTTTCAGGCTAGGATACCAGCCCAGTTTTTCTTTGGGACTTTGGTTGGCCTTCCAGGTTTTCGGTTTGCCACCTTGAAGGGGGCATAATCATAATTTATCAGAGCAACTCTCCAGATAACTCAGTGTGTCTCAAAATTAGGTATGATAAAAGTTGAGAAAAGTGTGTTTTGCTGTCACAAATCTTGGGTTAAAGCTTAACTTTTATCCTCAAGGCCTAGTGCCATTAATTCTTCAGGACAATTTTCAGCCTATCCAGATTGAGTTTGCTGTATCTAAATGTCTCCATCCCGGGCTTCTGTCCCTCCTTAACTTGTTACAATATATGGACAGGTGAAAAAAACCCAGAATCAAAGAATAGAAGATACCGAGTGTTAGGCAGACCTATGGAAAGTCCTAACCTTCCTGTCAGGAGTAAAGAAGAAATTATGCTAGACTTCTTTCTTATTTGAACCAAAAAGATGCTCTGATTCAAACATGATTGAACAAAGTATGTAACCAGTGAAAAGAAGTTTAATGGTCAATGGTTGTTAGTACTAGGCTTGTAACAAGATATTTTTATTTCCACAGATTGCCTGTCAAGCTATAATGTTTTGGGAAAGTACAAGAGAATAATTTAAAGAGCTGAAAAAGGAGCTGAAAAAAGGGACAATGGTAAATATTTAAAAAATAATCAGAAGGTAGTGTAGATTTATCTTTACTTGCTTTCAAAGATAGACTAGTACAAAAATATTTGTCTGCAAACTAGCTGCAATTTGCTTTTCCTTCTTGTGATCATTCTTAATTTTCCTTGTATGCTTTCCTGATTTCTCTAAAAATTCTAAATATTTTTTTTAAATGATTTTTTTTCTTTATTCAGGATTTTTCTATATGCATATTTGTAACATTTTTTTCTGATTTTCATTAGCCTATGAATTTGAAATATTATAAGTAATTCTGTATACAGAAATATTTATATAACCTTGGCACATGCTTTATGTGACTTTCTCTAATATGCATGTTATTGTGTATGGATTTTGAGCTAAAAACTATAACGCAAAACTCTTCCAATTAACATAAAGTAGTTTAAAAAATATGTACTTGACTAAAAATTTCCCATCTCTGTTTCTAAATGCCATGATTGTAGATTAATTTATTTTCTCCTGCATTCAACCAAAAAAAAAAAAATAGAGAGAGAAAGAGAGGGAGGGAGGGAGGGAGGGAGAGACTGGCACAAAGTCACCCAGCTGACTAAAGGTCTCCCACGTTCTAGCCTGGTGTCTTAACTACTACATCAAACTGGCATTCTAAGAATAAAATATCTATTTAAAAAATCCTTGGCTATCTAGAGTCAGCATATCAATCATGGCCAAGTACACAAACATTTTGACCAAAGCTTCACAGCCTTTCTTGAAAAAATGAAAGAATTCAACGTACATGTTTGTGTATTTAAAAATGGTCCCACTCTTTTGTTTTAAATGTTATATTACCTCCATTGTGTTCAAAATTCTCATTAAATTTTGGAGTACCAACCGGTAGCTATGGAGCTGGTCCATTTAGAATTTAAATGGGGGCACTAGATGCATTTGTCAGTCCACAAACATTTTAAAACTAGTTTTCATTTCTTACTTATTTTTGATAGGAAACACATGCTTCATTGTGCATATTTCTTCAGTAGTTCAACCCCAAATCAGCCTTGCCTAGCAATAGTGGCCTCTTTCCAAAATCATCACATGAATGATAGAAATTGTGGAAAATGTGACAAAAAATAATTAACTCTAAGATATTAAAAGTCTTAAAAAATGAAAGGTGGTATAGGTTAATATGTATATTTTTGAATTGCACATTTTAGGGGTATAACTGGCCAGCATTACCATACTTGTGTTAATGATAGTGTCATGCATGTAAACACAGTTGTGTATTGCATTCTTCTAACCAGACATTTTCAAGAGCAGTCTGTTTTATGTTGCCAAGGGTTTTTTTTTTCCACTTGTGTCAGAAGCACCGAGGCATGCTTCTGGTTGAAAGGATTAGCTGGTGACATCACTACTGCCTGGGGGACATTCAGTTGGGGGCTCTTTTCATGTCCCTGGCAGGAGCTGGACCGAAGGATGGGAGCTCAACCCTGCCCCATGAAGCACCCGAGTCTCAAACATGGCCTTCCAATCTTCAACCTAGCATCCTAACCACATGAGCCACCGTGCTCCTCTTGTTCCCAAGTTATCAGTCATAGTAAAAATATAATGTGCAATGTAATGTGGATTTTCCATCCTGCTTTACTAATTTTCTAATCCTGTGAAAATCTAAATAATTGTTTCTTCGCTTTCACAGAGAAAAAGCTGAAAAAATTGCATGTATGCTCTTATAAGATTTCTGTCATAGGTTGTATGTTCTTAACCTTATGAAAAGCAATGTTACTCTTTTCACCCACAATTATAGTTGTTTATCAGTGCAGTTCAGTCAGTTTTTCTTAAAATTTCCTTTTCAGCTTCCTGTCTTTTGACATTAAAAATAAGCCAAATGTGCTAAAAGTCTTGAAAGCTGACTACATATCCCATGCTGTGATTTTTGGCTTCCTGCATATGGTAGTATAGTACCACAAGCTGTGAATTCATGAAAGAATAGAATTACTTTTGACTTCTCACCAAATTTAATAGCAATATCTCAAACATCTGTGTCCAAAGGTCTTGGCCATACCAAATCTGCAGCTGTTCAGTGGAAATCTGCTGAAATAATAAAATGGTGAGAAATACAATATCAGAACCAAGATTCCTAATCACTTTTCTCAAGCAACTGTAAGAGTGGAACTTTAAATGAATCATTTCTTCATATGTTCCTGATGTAACATGACATTTGTCAGAAAGATTAACACTGAAACTCTGTATATGTTGATCATAACCTTTTCACAGTTATTTTTTGAGGTAATACTTGTAAAAATGTGACACAGGTTCATCTGGAGAAACCTGGTTTTCTGTATATCATTAGAAAATTAGTTCAGCATATCTAGTAGTTAAAAACTATACATGAGACATAGGAAAGTGCTATCAATACTGTCAGTACAGAGTTTGAAAAAGAATTGCACATCTTACTTTGTGGACAGTCTGAAGTGAGATGCTGAAACCTGTGGTAATCAGAATAATGTTTTGTGATGAATTGCTGACAACTGTAAAAAGTTTCTGTTAGGACTTGGCCACAATGAGTCTGTTATAGGAACAGTTAAAGGTATATAGTTCAATTTTTTTAAAAAAAAAAAAACTATACCACAATATCAGATTAGAGTTTAGAGAGCTGGTGCTGCTGACAGATTGACAAACCTAACAAATTTCATCTGATTAAGACATTTTATTAGGATCTGTTGATATTTTAAGCACATGAGTTACAAGTAAACTAGCTACTATTTTATATTTCCCTGATTTCTAGTTTGTAATGAGCTTTTATAACTAGGTGAACTGTTGCTGGTATTTCTTGAGTTAATTGCAGTGAACAACTTCAGTTATGAAATTGCTATGCTTTCTAATTTTTGCACAGTTAAAATAAATGATAAGGTGAAATAATGCATGTTAATCAATTCTCTTGCTGTGAATCATTATAATTATCGGGCTATAATGCAAAAGGAACCACTTAAAAATGTAGATGTTGCACTATTTTATTCAAAGATGCTTTGCTTTCTGTTCACACATAATCCTATTTCCTTCCTCCACACTGTTATCAAATATCAAAATATAGTCCATTCTTGAAATGGGGCAGTAACCCAAAAATAATAACAATTTTTTTAAATATTTGGGTACCTAACAGAGCAAGCTTAAGTTTAGGTTGGAGTGCTCTGACATGTACAATTACACTGCTGGCCTGCATAACAAAAATAAGGACAAAGAGACATTTGTCCTTTCCATGTTCTATGAAATTGTTTCTTTGTGTGCTTTTGGACAAAGCTACTCTCTGGTGCAAGGAGTGAGAAGGGACAGAGAGCAAACAGCTGATGTACATTCCAACTCAGTTCACAGACACAGTAGCCAATCAGAGGGAACTTTGGATCCATTAGACCAGTGTTTCTCAATATCAGCACCTTTAAGATATGTGGATTTCAAGTCCCCAGGCAGCCTGCTGTCTGAGGAATTCTGGGAGTTTAAACTTGTTCATATATTTTAAACTTGCTGAGATGGAGAAACTGCATTAGATTCTAAGCTACTTTAACCAGACCTGCCCCTAGGCACATGTCTGGAAGCTTTCTGGCGACTGGAATTTCCTGACCTTAGAAAAAAGGAAAAAGGAACTGATATCAGGTTTCTTCCTCCAAGGATAGGTTTTTTTTTTCCTGACCACAAAGACAGACACCAATGTATATAATTGTCCGTGGGATGCCACCCTATATTGGGACCATACTTCTTTTGCTCATCATATATGCTTCTTGTTCTTTAATGCAAACTTTATTAAGGTAAATTTACATTTTTGACATCCTGTGTTGTCATGTTTGAGTAGAATCTAAGCCATGCATTACTCCAAGAAGTGTTTCAAGATGTCTTTGTGTCCTGGTCATTATGAGACTTAATAATATAGCATTTCTTCAAATCATTCCAAATTAATAATTGTATTACTTCTGATTTTCATTTTAACCCCTTCCAGATACTTCACAAAAATGAGGAGGAGCTTCTACCAACAGATGTACGGCTGTAACTAATGAAACATTGTTTAGAAACTTCATAACAGGTACACTGGAAGCTTTGCAAGCACAGGTTTATTACACTTATGGAGTCAAGTGGATGTCATATGTATCAGTCCCAATTTCTGTTTTGATGAGATTTATGTTTTTTTTAATTTTACTGTGTTATAAGTTGCCTATAGTTGTGCTAAAACATGATTAATCCAGCAGATAGGCTGATTTCAGTATGAGTGTCCTAAAAAGCTGTTTCTTAGTTCTGCTGAAATCAATTGGATTTAATTTTGGCTAGAACAAATTATCCTCATCTAATGTGCAGAGTATATTAAATAAAATGTCTAGATACTGATAGAGATTTATGACATCATCATTATTCTGCTTTGATTATGTAACATTAGCAAATATTTATTATAATCAAAACATATTTAAATAAACTAATAGTATTCATTTTGACCTTCAGCCTTCGATGTAAAGATTGTTTCCTTCTAATTAATAGGCTTAAATATGCCACTTGGCATAACTGTTAAATATTCTGTACCATACAGCATTCCTGTTTCCAATTTAGGTCATACTATGAGGATGATGAAAAGAATCGAAGATGGAAGATGAGATGCTCTAATTCACATATACGCCCTCTGGAAGGGCTGGCAAAGGCAACCACTTAAATTAAGCTCAGGTCATCAGACAAGATATTTAATCTATTCCTAAGACAGACAACTTCTATAGCTGAAATCCCTATGGCCTTTAAAGCAACACAATGAACTACTTTGTCGTGTACTCCTGTCAAATCATGTTAGGTTGCTTGATTTTTAGAAGTGATATTTCATGTACTCTTATGAGCAAATTGCTCAGAGCAAAGAAAAGTGTTTTGGTTTATTTATGACCTACTAACCTTAAGTAAAGAAAAAGAAGTTTCAGCCACTGTGAATGTTCTCAGAAGCCTAGAGATACGAAATGTACATAAAATAAATCTGGCATTTGTAGCACAGACTAGCAAAAGGCACACATGGCCAATCCACAGGGTTTCTTTAAAAAAGAAGATGGAAACCAGATGATGAAAGCAGAAGGGACGAAAGTCACTCTTAACCAATAAATAATATAAAATGCAGACTATAGAACTGAAAGTTTAAAAGCAAGTAAAGATTTTCAGATTGTATTCAAGGTGAGAAATAAACGGAAGAATGGATGGTAATACTGAGCTTTCAAGTATGTTGTTAGTAAAAAGAAATTGAAACGAAAAGCAGCCAGCTCTATAGGAAATACAATATCAAGAACGACAACTAAGGAACTCATTGTCTGATTAATATCATGGAATTAAAATAATAAACTAACTGGGAAAGGGAGAAACTAGAGGAAGAAGAAAATAAAAATAAATATAGAAAGAAAGAGTATAATAGCAATAGCACTTAGACTTCTATATCAGTCTATAGTGCTTTACAGCACTTTACAAATGTTAGCAGTTTACAAATGTCTATAGTGATAACTATGAATTGGGATCTATTCATGTGGCTCTTGGTGAATACATACAAGATACATTTTAAATCCTACACATAAAAATAAAAGTTTTGTCTGTTTCTTTAGCTGATTAACGTAGTCTTGGTAGTAGTATTCAGAGCAAGGGAGGAAAAAATAATGATCAGGAACTCTCTCTAATCTCTTAGGGAAGGCTATACTATTTTGTTTCATTTCGGATAAGGAACAAAAATAACCTATTTTTCATTGGACACTTTAAAGAAAATGAACAGGAAAAAGCAGGAAATAAAATATCACAAATTATTCAAAAACCAAGTATTTAAAAATGTAGTGCCGATGGGTTTTTAAAATGTTAGAAACTATTTGTAAAGTTTAAATACCTTGTATACAGTTATATCATTCTTAAACTGCTGACATAAGTAACTGAATTATACTTTGTAAGTTCAATCCATATTACTAGGAATCTGTTTTGATTTACATAGCTCATAAAATTGAAATATTAATTCTATACAAAGATAAACTCAAATTTTGGATATGATACCAATATAATACATATATGGATGGTTTCCAGATTGAATTTAAATCTGTATCAAATTTACAATTATTTTAGACATCAAAGCATACTCCCAGAAATCAACTAGAGATTCTTTCATTGAAGGGATCCAGTGAATTTTCCAGAAAGAGCAATGTAATGTCCTTGTAACAATTATATCTAAAAGCTAATTCAATATACCAAAAAAGAAAACTGTTTTGGTAAAATTTATTAAGTATTAATAGATTGAAATGGGAATTCAGTTGTTAATATTTGTTTCATTCTAGCTTAATCTTTTACAGAATTGTTGAGCTTTATGACATTGCTAAGTAGGAAAGAATTATTGTAAGGTGTCAAACACATTGCCTTCAAATTTACATCTGCCTTAGGCATAACTAACAGAATAGAATAACAGAGTTGGAAGGGACCTTGGAGGTCTTCTAGTCCAACCAGGGGTGGGATACGACAGAGTTAACTACTGGTTTGGTATTTACAAGCTTCCCTGCCCGCTGTGAGCTGCACGCCTGTTAATCGTCATTAGCACGCTGCATGCCGAGAAGCAGCCTTTGAAACAGCCCTCTTTTCTTGTTTTTTTAACTGCAGCTGTGCCTCGTTCAGGAAATAAAGATCAGGTAAGAGCCTGGGGGGGCGGGGGGGCAAAAACATCAGTAGACATAGAACCGGTTCTATGTCTGCTGCTCTTCAGAGCTACCGGTTCTACAGAGGTGGACAGAACCGGTAGAAACCCACCCCTGAGTCCAACCCATAGCTCAGGCAAGAAACCCTATACCAGTGATGGCTAACCTTTTCAGCTTGGTGTGTCGAAAATCGGGAAAAAGTGTAGCCTTCCTCGGGTCGTGTGTCACTTCAAGAAATATCAATAATTTGGTTTATGACGGACTGGGCTGGGGTGATCACACAGGGCTGTGAAACTCGTCTCCCTGGTCTCAGGACTGCAGATGCAGGATGTGGAGATCGGAAGGCCACCTTACAGGGCTGTGAAACTCATGGATCTCCTTTCCTCCTGTAGCGCTCCTGAGGTAATGAAACTGACAAACCTCAGTTTATGGCGGTTAAAACTGGTTCTCTGCTGCAAAGATCTTGCGGCAGCGGTGACACCACGCCTCCACGCAACAAGCAGGGAGCAGGGATTGGAGCAGAGCACAGGCAGCCTCTAAATGTGCAGGTTTTCCCCACACCAACAGGCGTGTCAGTCAAAGTGCCTCGCCGTGTCATGAGTGACACGCATGTCATAGGTTAGCCATCACTGCCCTATACCATTTCAGGCAAATGTTTGTCCAATCTCTGCTTAAAAACTTGCAGTGTTGGAGCATTCACAAATTCCGGAGGTAAGTTATTTCACTGATTAATTGTTCTAACAAAAGTAATTTTTCCTTACTTCTAAGTTGCTGTCTCCTTGATTAGTTTCCATCCATTGCTTCTTGTATTGCCTTCAGGTGCTTTGAAGAATAGCTTGACTCCCACTTCTTTGTGGCAACCCCTGAGATATTGAGCACTGATATCATGTCACCTGTAGTCCTTCTTTTCATTGAACTAGACATACCCAATTCCAGCGACCATACTATATATGTTTTAGCCTCCAGTTCTCTATTAGGCAATAATAATACTGTCAAATATTTATTGCAAAAATGTATACAGAAGAATAAATGTACAAGTATTACAAGAGTTACATGTGTCAATTTGGAACCAGTATTGTGACAGTAATGTTGTTTTTTAGATCAAACAACTTATAATTTTGAGTTTACTTTTGATTTAGTTTATTTTAATAGAGAGACACGTTGCTCTGATGTAATTTTTTTTTCAGGGATTTATGGATATTTTTCTTTGTGTTTTTAAGTTACCAAGCAGGGAAAGTTTAGATTGTTCTCAGCATTATATATAGTGCAGCAGTGCTTTGTTGAGAATTCCTCAGTAGATGGATTTGATGAATAAATGTTATGTAAACAGTGATTTTTTAAAGCAGAATTAATCTACCAAATTGAAAATAATGTCATTTTCTTAATTTTGCTTCGCTTTAGACATTTAAGGATGGATACTTATGAAGTCTTTGGAGTTCTCCTTCTTTTGGTTGCTTCAGTGAACATTCAACGCTGTCGGTGAGTTTGGGATTAAAGTGAAAACCATCGACCGTTGATTGTACCCTCCAGCTAACCATCCTCCTCATTACTCAGAATTTCATTGAAGACAGCCATAAAGCAAACACCCAAGATGATTTGTTTGTGTTTTTCCTTGCAGAGTTTAACTTAGATCCACAAAAAAGGTCACAATCAACATTCATTGCTGTCGGTGGGTTTAACTTTGTGGACAAGCTCACTGAACAATGAATGCAACTGTGGCCCCACTTTTTACAATCCCAGCCAAGAATCCCAGCCATTGCTTTTGAATGTAGCACCTGAAGTGGATGTCTCTAACACAAAGCTTTGGATCAAGATACTGAGTTACTTTCCAGCTGTATGTTTAAAATATTTGTTTCTGTTTTTGTTTATCTGACAAAGTTACTGAGTCAGGAAATGCAAAATACTATCTGTGGCATTTCATCATGATATAGCAAAAAAGTATGTTCTTTTCCTCTACTCATGGTTAGCTGGATTACAGATTTTCTAAACAAGAAAAGAAAACATGTCAAATTGAGGGATAAAATGAATGTATCCAACTTTGGTGTCCTAGTAAGTCTTATAGACAAATGATTATTGCTAAAATCAACTTTTTGTTTTTGTTTCTTGCAAAAAGTCCAAAAGTGGTTTCCAAGAAGAAATAAATTTTGTTAAAATATTTTATTTAATCAAGACTGTCAATTTAGCCATCTCTATCAATTCCACCAGCTTCTACCATTCTTCCATTGAAGATATTTGTAAATCTTTCCACCTTCACCATATAAATGACTCCTTGTCATTATCATATATAAAAAACAAAATTCCATAAAATATTTTTAATTTGTTTGTCTGTCAAGCCCAAAAGAAAAGCTTCTGATTTCAATTATACATTGATTTTTAAAATCTGTATCAAAATATATACCTGATCCCAATATTTTCTATCTTTGTTACATGTCCAAAGATGAAAAAATATTCCCTCAGGTTGATTATATTTCTGACAAATAGTTGAAATTCTGTTATACAATTTTACAATTTAGCTGGTGTCATATGTCAACCATACATCATTTTATAAAAATTATCTTTAAGATTGTAATTCAATGTAAATCTCATCCTTTCATTCTCTCATTGGTCCAACTGTATATTATATCCCAATATACAGTATATCTTTAACTTGTACGACTAGTATTTCCATTTTTAGTAAAAGTTTGTACATCTCAACAATCATATGATCATCATTTGTACAGAGCTCTGCAACAAAGTCAGTTTTACCCTTTTCAAATTCATAATCCTTATTCAACTTAATTCTTTCTCTTAGCTGAATGTAAGGAAACAAATGGCACGTAAAACCTTCCAACTCCCAGTTTCCCCTTGTTTTAAGAATAACATTCATTGGGAAAATTTTTGCAAATCATATAACTTCACCATTTTCATTTAATTATCCTCCCACTCCGAAAAACACTAAAAACACACAACTATCAAGAGACAATTTTGCCTTACACCTATTCCAAATTCTCAATATGGCACATCTAATATGACTTTTGAAAGCTACATTCACTTTAAGTTTGTTGTACCACAGATAATCATGCCATTCAAATCTTAATGGTTTTCCAATATCCAAAACCCTCCTATTTGTTAAAGTCACTACTAAAGTCACCACTCTCTCACCCAAACTAAACAGTAAGTAAGTAAGTATATTTAATTCTCGGTTTCTAAAATAATTTAGAAATGCCTTTTTGACATTGCTTAAAAGTTGTAAATATAGTTATTGTCTGAATGAAAATATTTTTGTAAAGCATTCATTTTAATCACAGAAATTATTCCCAATGACAGTTATAATTTTTCCCTTTTCACCATATCTTTTTTTACCTTTATTCCATAATTTAACATAGTTTTTTTGAAACAACATACAGTCCCTAGTACTATAAGAACCCCCCCCCCCCAAGTATTTAACCCTTTTCATCAATTTAAACCCAGATTTCTTCAACAAAACATCTTGATCTTGTGTAATTATACTTTTAACTTGTTTTCTGCTTATCTCTGAACCTGATCACATGCCAAAATCTTTCATTTTTTTTCTTTGAATGATACTGATTTTCAGAAGCCCC